GCATATAAAGTACCTGGATTTCTTGGTCAAGTTGGTTTCATAACTTCTATGAGTAACATATTCTGTGGTTCATGCAATCGTGTCAGAATGACAGCTGATGGAAATTTGAAGGTTAGTTTGATTTTATCATTTAATCCTGTACATTCATTTGTAATTTCAACAGTCCCATGTCGGGCATTACAACTTATTGTGACCAGTGACAAATATACCCAACTTTAAAAGAACCCTGAAAACACCCTGTAACTTTACTCACCCACAATCTCAACATGTTATGGTGTATATATTGGTCAGGAAATAATACCTCACAGATTTGCAAAATGGGATTGTAACTTTTATTCAATGTTTTAAGAATGATACATTTGTTTGACTACCAAATATGCATTGCCGCAATATACTTGTATTGTTCTGTGTGCAATTGTGTTGTCGTAGTTCCCAGTATCCTGACTTTATCTATTATAAACAAGTAAAAGTCTGTATTAAGTCACCATTGTTAGTGTCTGCTGAAGTGTAATCGTGAATACAAAGTTGCTGAATGGACAATTACGTCTTTCAAAATACTGTTCATCCTTTCATCCACCCTCTGGTGAGGTTCTTTCAACCCAAGTTATTATTCTGCAAGGGTGAGCATATTTTAGGTTAATCATTGTTTGTTCCTGTCGCACTTTATTGTGGTGCTGGTGAAAATCGACTGATTTAGTCTTACTTGACTGCATGTGTTTTGTTTGTAGTAAATGGTTTTTATGTGATTTTAGACAACTGTATAACCTAGCTTTGTGTATTACCGTACAACTTAATTTTTCATACAATTACTGTTTCTTCATGATTGATTGTAAACTTTGTTGGGTGTTAAGGTAGCGAGACTATTATTTGTGTTGAAAATTACAATTTTCACATTTATTTATTAATTGATGAAATGCACTATAAACTTTCATATGATAAAGTCAATATAACATAGAATGTTATGTAAGTTGGTTAAAATGTAGATTTTCTGAAGGGAAGCAAGGCAGCTTTAGTAGTGTTTTCTAAAATCAACAACACAGGTTTAATTTGTGTGCCTATAAGTTTCAAAGATTAACTCAAGACAAAGCAATGTTAGGATGTGTTATCAGTAGCTATCTGACACACAATTAGTGTTTCCAAACATTTGAGTGGTTTGTCTCCTGCCCATATATGTTTCACAGATTAGTCATTTGCATAAGAATGTTTCAGACACAAGATCACACAGCCACTGAAAAAAATCATTGATTTTGGTGTTTTCATCTGCCGATTTTATCCCATTCCTTTATTTTTTTGGTTTCCAATAGCCTTACACATTTGGGTGTCCCTACACATGTTAAAACAGACCTTGATGAGAAAACAAATCGCTTGTGCAGATAACAAGCTTGAAAATCTTTGCTGTTACTTCATCAACGTTTTCTATGAGTTTATGTTTTTCAAATTACAAGGTCTTTAACAAAAAATAACGTATACTTATTGTCGTTGGATTAACACCAACTTTTCACAGCTTTAAGGTGACAATGAGAGGATCTTGAATGTGTCCAGAGAAACTATTTCATGGATTATTTACCAATTTGTTGTAGTTTGAGTTGGGGGCAATGCGACTAAAACAGAAATTAAAATTCAGGACACTACTTTTCGAAACGTGTTGCTTGAATAAAACTGATCAGACACATTCAATTTACCAGACTAATGAACAACTAGGAAAAGTGAAAAAAAAATTATTATCACCAGCATAAATGCGTAATTATTTTTTTTACAAAAAAAACTAATTTTTCACTTTTGATTAAGTAACACACCGTAAAATGCAGATACGGGCATGGCAAACACACCTTTGAAAAGCTTGAAGTCTGGCGATTCCAAAAATATATACTTTCCTGGGTCTATTTGTAGTCATTTAGTCACAATTAGAAGATGAAAACAAGTATGCAAATAATAGTCTCGCTACCTAAAGTTCTACTACAAACTGTTAATATGCTTTAAAAGATGATGACCTACTTTATCAGTAGATTTATATCAAAAGGAGCATGTACATGTAGAAATTGTGTCTGAACCCATGTGCTTTGATTTATGATTGAGTGAGTCAGTAACAAATACAAGTGGAGATTTGTTCGTAGGCAGAATAGCTTGAAATTTTGGATGAATATATAAGTTAATAGCACTAGTATTGTAGTAATAGATTTTCAAGGCATATATCTATAATATGAAACAGTTTCATATGATAAAAAGGTCAACAAGCTGCTCTCTGATTGGTCTGACTATTATCGGTATGTTTCAGTGTCAGGTAACCAATCAGGTACAATCTTGAACCTTTGCATTGACTCTGAATTTGTTTTTAATATGGTCAATACTTTGTAAATATCATAAAGACTATTATATAGCAAGACAAAATGATTAAAACTGGAATGAACCAGTGGAATATTATTCATTTGCATAAACACAAAATGTTCTATTCATGGTTATTAATACATATCATATGACAGTGAATGTATTTGCATCTTCATTTATTGTATGCGTGACGACCACCACCCTTTAAGTCATAATTAAAACCTAGTGAGTAAAAAATATCTAACCATTTGCTTACCTGCACTGTTGATGAATGCTAGTGAGATATATTGTTGCACTAAAACAAGCTCATCACATTTTTGTCCCAAACGTTGATCCACGTGTTTAATGACTGCCATCAACAAGTTGCAATATGTTGATTGAAATAATTACATACATATATGATTATCTAATTAATATCCATTTTGTTTGCAGGTATGTCTATTCGGGAATACTGAAGTGTCGTTGCGAGATGCCATGAGGTCTGGTATGTCTGATGATGAGTTACTACAACTTGTTGGTGGTGCAGTAGGAAGAAAGAAGAAACAACATGCAGGTATACATGTAAACAATTTCACCATCAAAGACATTATTTTTGCTATACCGTATTTGCTCTATTAGAAGCGCATGCACTAATTGTTGTCTTAGAGATTCCTTAGAACTTGTGGTTTGCAAAATTATGAACTTTACTAAACTTCTGTTTTGAAAAAATATGCCAGATTGATTTGATGTATGTAGGTACCTCAGATTTAATTTGTTAGGGATATCTTCAGTCAAACTTCTTTTAGATTGTAGATAAGATTAAATCGCAGGGTATTCATCGCAAACAGCAGTGCTTATATTGGCTGACAGGCTGCTTGTTTTAAACCGGTGTTCTGTGTGTATAAAAGGATTTCAGGATGCAAATAACCTTGCATGATGATGTATGTACATCTGGTCCTAGTGCCCTGCAAGATCAATGTTTGTGAAGACTAGAATGTACTAGAAGTTTCTTATTAATCAGTTACATAGCATATGATTTTGACATTTGTTATTTGGTTAAGCAAGATTTAAATATAATTTTCATCTAAAAGTTGACAAGAAAGCACTTCTTCAATATGACTCTCAAATATAAGTTCAGTCAAATCAAAGTATTACTCTGAAATATTACTGACAATTATAGCTATAATCACTTGACAAGATCTCACTCAACAAATGCTGAATATTGTTTGTGTTTTAAAGAAATCACTGCATTCATGTTTATTAGAACCCACTCGTTATATGCCGAAATCACGTTCTCACACTCTGCACATGTGTTAAATGCTGTTATACAATTATTTTAAATCATTGTGCTCATGCAGAGTTTGGATTTTTTTTAAATGCTGATTCCATCCCAACCGTGTTACAACATGTTCAATAACAGTCAAAACACTAGCTTGTGTCAAGATCTCTAATTTAAGAACACCAATACACCTGTTTGGAGCAGACATTGGTGTTTAATTGTATGTTAGCAGATGAGATTAACATCTCTGGTTACATCTGTAACATGAAGTTACATTAGGCACTGGAATTCTTTCCATATTTTAAAAGCTAACACACCACTCTCATACCATTTTGACTGAAATTTGCCATCTCAATTCTTTAAAGGCATGTTTAATATCTCCAAGATGAAGAATCGACCTATGATACTTATTGGTGGCTGAAATCTCTTCACTTTCGACTGAAGTATGTATTGCTAAGATTTGGTACATTTTAGATTTATGTTGATTACAGCTGAAGTTACATTCTCTATTGACTTGTTAACTTCTTCATGAAAAGTACCAACCTGATTAATAATGTATTTAATATTTGTTCATTTCCTGGCAATTTCTGTTTTTATAATTTTGACTTTAATGCAACCTATCCCATAGTAAATACCGTGATATGTGCATAGCTTGAACCACTGAAATGTTCAGCATGTTTGCAAGTAAAACTCTATTTAGCATCTCATTTCATTGTTTGGTCTCTTTGGTAATCAGGCAGATAGCAAAACTAACTGTAATCTGGGCATGCCATGTACATGGTTCGTATCTTAGACGTACATGATTTTCTGTTTTTTGCTCATCTCTACTAATTAAAGCAAGAGAGGCGTCACCTGCGCATGGTCCGATGGCCATAGCGTGTCATTGTTTACAAACAAGCATTTACCCATGAGCCTTTGCATTGTTATCGCCACTTGGGACTCAATTCCCACGTGTACGCAGGTGACTACCCTCTCGCTTTAAGATAAAAAAGTAAATTATAATTTTCATTTTGGAAAGTATTTAATATTTGAGTTTGAATTATGTGTGTAACTTTTTGTCTTCCATACACCTATTTTGGAGATGCCCTTCCTTTATAGCAAATACGGTATTTATTATTTATCATTCTTTGTTTAGTATCACAATTAGAAATACCACCAACTTTCAATCACTTGGATTATTGCAAAAATTGACATGTTGTGATATCATATTACAGTTGCTAAAAAGGATATATCCTTGGCTTTTTTCTTTTTTAGGTAATAATTTAGTGTATGATTTGAAAATCAACAATGAAAGACATTTAAGAATTCATGGACCTAATACAATCTTGACTGGACTTGCTATTAATGCCAGAAATATGACTCTAACTGGGTATCCAAGGCTCTATAGCACCAAGGATGCGAAACCTTCACTAACTCATATTGATGAGGCTGGTAAAGCCAAAATGGTGGATGTAGGCAACAAAGCGATCACTAACAGAACTGCTGTTGCTGTTGGACAAGTTTTTCTTGGAGCTGAAGCATTCAAACTCGTCAGTGAAAATAAAATGAAAAAAGGGGACGTACTGAGCACTGCTCAAATCGCTGGCATCATGGCTGCTAAAAATACATCCAATTTGATACCTTTGTGTCATAACATAAACATTAATAAGGTAGTTGTTGAGTTAGAGTTAGATACAAATGAACACAGGGTTAATATCAAAGCTACTGTAAGTAATTCAGGGAAAACTGGTGTAGAAATGGAAGCGTTAACTGCTGTTTCCATTGCAGCTCTTACAGTATATGATATGTGCAAAGCGGTCACACATAAAATGCTAATTTCAGATATCAAATTACTCAGTAAAACAGGTGGACAAAGAGGAGACTATCATCACACCTGAATCTACATTGTTTTTAGTTATATATGAACTAACCAATAATTTAATTTTGAATTTTACTATCATTTGCAGTGTCTCATTATTCATTCAAAGTGGTAGTTTATTTTACATTTTATGGGAGTAATGTCAGTTTTATTTTATATATTATAATTTATATTTTTAAATGAATTTTAGATATGTGCAACCGCATGCATTTACATAAATGTGAGGTGGGACTGCTAAAAATGAGATATATTTAAATAAATTAATGCATTTTTTAGTTTATTTGCACTTCTTCTGAATATACATTTCCAAAATAACAAAATTCAGTATTACCATGTTTATCCAGCTGACCTGGAATATATAAACGCAGGCAGAGTCAGTTTGCATACAAATACTCTTCAAATTTCATCACCTCACAGAGTGCAAAATAAACATGGTGCTGCATCGTGTAAATGTATTTACAGAATTGTATTTAAGTTTAAATTTCTCTGTTATGAATCAACATAATCTTTATTAGAATATTCATGTATAGATATCATGGTGACCTGACAATATGTGGTATGCTTGTCTGAGATCTGTAGAAAAAATGTTCACCAAGCAGCCAGCTTAACACAATTATCCATTATATAAGTAAAATAGTGTGACATTACCAAAAGTAACTTCGTTACATATACATTGTTTATTAATAAAAACCCAGAAAGTACCTGGCATAGGTAGAAGATGACTGGCATAGGTAGAAGATGACTGGCAGAGGTAGAAGATGCCTGGTGGAGGTAGAAGATGACTGGCAGAAGTAGAAGATGCCTGGCGGATGTAGGAGATGCCTGGCGGATGTAGGAGATGCCTGGTAGAGATTGATAATGCCTGGTGGAGGTAGAAGATGACTGGCAGAAGTAGAAGATGCCTGGCGGAGGTAGAAGGTGCCTGGCAGATGTTGAAGATGCCAGGCGGATGTAGAAGATGCCTGATGGAGGTAGAAGATGCCTGATAGAGGTAGAAGATGACTGGTGAAGGTAAAAGATGACTGGTGAAGGTAGAAAATGCCTGGCGGAGGTAGAAGATGCCTGGCGGAGGTAGAAGATGCCTGGCGAAGGTAGAAGATGCCTGGCGGGGGTAGAAGGTGCCTGGCGGGGGTAGAAGGTGCTTGGCAGATGTTGAAGATGCCAGGCGGATGTAGAAGATGCCTGATGGAGGTAGAAGATGCCTGATGGAGGTAGAAGATGACTGGTGTTGGTAGAAGATGACTGGTGTTGGTAGAAGATGACTGGTGGAGGTTGAAGATGCCTGGCGGATGTAGGAGATACCTGGTAGAGATAGATAATGCCTGGTGGAGGTAGAAGATGCCTGGCAGAGGTGGAAGATGCCTGGCAGAGGTGGAAGATGCCTGGCAGAGGTGGAAGATGCCTGGCGGAGGTAGAAGATGCCTGGCGGAGGTAGAAGGTGCCTGGCAGATGTCGAAGATGCCAGGCGGATGTCGAAGATGCCTGATGGAGGTATAAGATGCTTGATGGAGGTAGAAGATGACTGGTGAAGGTAGAAGATTACTGGCAGAGGTAGAAGACCTGTTTTTTGACAAAGTATGTAATGGCATGCACATGCAAAAATGTTATCATTCAATCAAAGATTGCTGATTTTTTTAGGTATTTTGGCATATCGGACATGATCAAAGCATCCAATCGTATCAGATTATTGACCAATTGCAGCTTTTTTAGTCATTAAAAATGTTGAAAAATCTGTTTCATTGCTTTCCCATTTCTTTCTTTATATAATATCCATTTTTTTTTCAAATTTAGTATGCTGGTTGATCATGCTGAGTTTCTGATGTACATTCTGTTCTTTCCATATTCTGAATAAAAGCAACTGACTTCTTCATCAAATTTTTTTTCGGACAAACATTGATCAATTTTCTTCAGATTTGATATGATTATTAGTGGCAATTTTATTTATATGGTTTTGCCCTTTGTTTATATGTTTCAGACATGTCTAGACGAGCACTTCAACCTTTGTAATTTTTCATCATGATATGCACATGCAGTCAGTTTGTCATCCTGTCAAAGATTCCTGCTGGCACCATTACGATTAACTCTCATATATGCAAAGCACACATTGTGGAGGTTGAGTTATACCAATGTATGTACATCTGTATCTAACTAATACTAACAAAAAAAAATATCAATCAACATCACTCTAGACTGAAAAAATATTTCCTTTGAAATGCTTTTATTAGCTTTGGATTTTTTGAATTGTTAGCAATTATCACATGGCAGCACAGCACTACAATTAGGTATTCTGTCATGTCTGTAACTCGATCTCGATTGTGCCATGTAAGGCTTTGCATATTATCCCAGTATATTTTAAACATCACTGTGAATCATAGAAAATATACTCAAATGTTTATGGCATCACACCATTTGCAACCACTTGTTAGATATTTAAATTGGACAATATCAAGTGGGTCATACTACCTGCAATTTGACCGCTGGAATAAATAATAATGGTATCACCCACCAGGTGAACCTCCAGGGATTATTGGTAATTGAAAAATTGTCAGTTTTCTCACTTGAACAATTAATATAGCTGTTAGGATGCTGCGCTTGTCAGCTCATCAACCCATTCAGTGACAAAATCTGTAGGAAGTTCCTTGACTAAGATGGCTGACACACCTGATTCGACAGGAGAAAACAAAAGTTCCAACAAAATAGCCGACGATGCCAGTCAATAATGTCTGTGTAATGATGATCTACATCCTGTGTGTCATTCCTGCGGTTGTGAGTGTTTTCCCAAATTCTGATGCATAAAGAGTCATCATGTTGTCTGAGAAGGAAAAACTCAACCAACCACAGTGGCTTTGTTTATCGTCTGTTTATGTAGAAGGTGTGTATATAACCTCAGCATTATCGGTTATCAGGTGATTAAACATATGTTGATTTCTGCAAAATAGGCGAGGTATCGGTGTAATTGTGGATTAGGCTGGACTCGAACAATTTGGAGAAGTCGTCATTGCTGATCATCTCCAGGCTAGTGTTTTGCCATGCGTGGTTTTGCGGGGGACGGTCGATTCGTCCCAAATCACATTCGTCCCAAGTCAATTCGTCCCAAAGTCGATTCGTCCCACAAGTTGATTTGTCCCAAAGTCGATTCGTCAGATTTAAGGTTAGCCCACTACTAACTCGCCAAATAAGCGCAAACAAATCCAAACAACTAACTGTTCACGCACACTGGCATGCGTAATTGTTCGTTACGCCATTTTGTTTTTGCCGACGTTATATACAAATACACCTTGCGTACAATGCTGAGTTATTAGTTAATAAATACAAATACACCGTACAAGTTATTAGTTAATAAATACAAATACACCGGACATTCAACGTACAAGTTATTAGTTAATAAATACAAATACACCGTACACGCAACGTAGAGTTTTAGTTAATAAATAAATACAAATACACCGTTCACGCAACGTTGAGTTATTAGTTAGCGTGTCAGTAACAGTTGGCATAGAAATTGACCCTGTTCAAGATCGTAATGCTGACCAAAAAATTAAAAAATGGACGAATGTGAATTGTGACGAATCGACTCGTGGGACGAATGTGAATTGGGACGAATCGACTTGTGGGACGAATGTGTTGGAACGAAAGTGAATTGGGACGAATTGACTGTGAATCTGTTTTGCAACTGGATCGAGTCTAGCAGTCAAATTATGCAGGCCATTGAGCCCTTTGATGATGATATTCAATTTTCTGTGGTGCAAAACCTGTCTGTTCATCTGCTGCTTGTGATGTGTTGGCTGATTCTGTAATCCATTTTGGGGTTAATTGAGTAAATTTGGTACATTGTCAATGGACCCGGTGAAAGCAAGGATCAAACTTGCAGAGATATTTCTACTAGCAAAAGGGGAAATGGTTACTGCAAGAGCTATTCGACAGTATGTCAAACACGTTCAAAATGCAACCAGCTAGCCAACCTCTGTTGAGGTTTGTGGCAGGAGGAATGGCATACTAGTTTAAGTAGTTGTTGGCTTCTGCTCAGCACTGCTTGTGTTTCCACGGTTTTAACCCCCCATCTTGGCTGGCCATCTTGGTATATCTATACATATTTTTCCACTATCAACCAAGGGCGACTATAGACGAACACTTGTACTTGCATTCCTGGGATTGTAGGTGTTTGTAGTCAATGTGGGCAGGTGTATTCCATTTCTCGGTTTAACACCACAACAGAGTCAGGGTGGACATAGCTAGTTTTGTCAGCCAATGACAACACATCAGTAGATGCTCTGGCTCCTTGGGCCACATGAACACACAATCTTCTGCAGGTGGTTAGCCAAACACATCAACTGGAAAGAGTTAAAGGCATATGACCCTCTGAAATGTTTCCTTCATTTCCACTGATTTAAACAGCACTCAAAAACTACTGACACTAAATGACATTGATAGTGCCACTCCTGTGAAGTCGAGGGTAGACACCACTCTTCTGAACACTACTAATTGACTAGCCGAGGAGACTACCCGGTGGCTCTGGACTGCTGTCAGTACCCCGATATAACATGTCTGCATCTCCAGAGAATTCCTGCTAATACACATACAATCTATATTCACGTTCAGATCACCATAAGGGTTTTTTTCAGAGGGACTGTTAAACACTATGCTCCTGTCCAGTCCATCTGAGATAGTACTACCTCGTTATACGACAGCCACTGGCAGCAACATCCATGGTAGGAAACGTAAAGTGTTTTTGTTAGTTTGGATAAAAGCATCACTAGGAAGACGTCATTAAACACTGTTCAAGGGGCTGTCTTGCATGCTGGTTCTTGTCATTAGTGTTGGATTGTCTTCAGCCAGGGACTACAAGCTACAATGAGCGTCACTTGCACAACATTATTACTGGCCGCTTTGACGGGAGATACAGTGAGTTACAAATTCCTTCTTTCACTGATAATTTAGCAGGCTGAACTGACCCCCCGCCCCAGGAACCAAGACCTGACGAACCGTGGGTGACAGCAGACCCTGTGCACAATGCAATAC